TGGGTCTTGGGGTCGGGAGGGGAGGGTGCCCGGGGCTCTTGCGCTGCAGGGCCGAGGCAGATCCGGGATTCGAAGCCGGTGCGACCGGCTCTTCTGCCGTGGTGGTTCCCTATTAGCGCCTCCGCGTCCTTGTCCCAGCCAGGTCCCAGCTAGCAGGGGGCGTGGCTCTTCTCAGTCCTTTCTCGCCGGGGTCCCCGCAGAGGTGGCGCCCCCACGCGACAGACGCACACTCCGAATCCGGGAAGAGGTGAGGGGGGCCCTGGCTCCCTTTAATGTGAGGGGCTCTGTGTTGTCTGCCAGGGCCTTACCAAGTCGCTCAGTGGCGAAGTTCGAACTGGGTGATCCTCCTGTCTCAGCCTCCCCGAGTGCTGGGATTGCATGCCCTATTGATGCCTGGCTTTTTGAGATTTTGAGAGTGAACTGGGTAGGGACTTCAGAGATGTTGCGGTTCTGATGTACATATTGAGTCCCACTCCCACTCCCCCTTTGCACTCTTCAAGGGTCAAGCTGTAACTGAAATATATAAACAGTAAGCAAAGGGAATCGTCTCTCCCCTCCTGCATTAGACAAACACAGAGGCTGAGGATTCTGAGTTTTTTCTTAACCAGGAGGTGTGGAGTGATCGAGTCAGTTACTGGGCTTCAGTGACTTGGTGTTTTGTGTTTTTCCAGACACTTTCCCACAGCCCTGTGTCATTTCTTCTCTGTCTGGTGGACCTGAGAGCTCGGCGTCCTCTTTACCTGACCAGGTGATCCTGTTGTTTAACAGCTGTATGCTGTGGATAACTTCAGCTTGGACCTACCTGTCCAGAAAGCCCCAAATTCTTGTATCTAGTTGCTTGCTTGACACCTACCACCCACCCTTTTCAAATTTTTAATATTAAATACTCCTAAGATTTACTTTAAGGTGCACCCTTCAGTGATGGCAAATGTGTTTCTGATGTTGTGTAACTATCACCACTGTTCAGCTTATAAAAACGGAAGCTGTGTCTGTTAGACAGTGACTCCCATTCCCCCGGTCCCCCGGGCCCTGGCAACCACCGTTCTGCTCTCCACTTGGTGCCTCTTTTTTATTGTGTTGTGGGCTTCTCGCGCTTCGACCAAACAACTGTTGATTCTCTGCCGCTAGTGCTGCTTGTCCCCAGGCCTCCCAGCCTCACCCAGGGTGTAACGGTTCACCAGGTAGTTCACACTCTGCCAGTGCATCCATCATTCTTTCCTTGCTGCCGTTTCCTGCACCCAGAGCGTTGGCTCTGCTTTTGCAGTGCACCCTGAATCCATTTATCCTGACTGTCACTGCCTCCACCCTAGGCCAGACCAGTGCCATCCTTTGCCCGGACCGTTGCAGTGGCCCTGCAGGTCTCTTGTTTCCTTTTCTTTCTTGCCCATTCTCCACCCAGGGGATCTTTTTAAAGCTCCTGTCATAGTACTACCCCATGTGCAATTCTTCGGCTTCTTGTTATACTCCCCAGACTTCATTCCAGAATCTCTCCATGATTGAATCTTTGTGTGATTTCAGTTCAGGCTAACTTGGCTGGACTTGGTGATTCAGGCCATATTTAGTGAGTCAGTATAAATTACTTCATTTCATGAGCATACACTTATTTAGTATTTGTGTGTGTGTGTGTGTGTGTGTGTGTGGTAAGACTCAATAAGTGAACATTTCTTGTTCATTTGTTTATCTGTGTCTTCTCACCCTGCGTTTCTGAATTTAATTTCCTTGAGAAAAGGAACTTTGTGTGTCTTGTCTGAAGGCCCTCCAGCCCCTAGAACACTACCAGGCTCCCCATGGGAACTCAAATATTGGTTGAACAAACAAATGAGTGTTTTAATTGGGATGACTTTTCCTTTCTTCTCAGTATGGCACACTCTTCAGATCTTAGCACAGTGCTGCCTACTCTGCGATAGTCCCTATAGCCCCTTGTTAAGTACTGTACTCCAGCATGGTGTCTTTCGTTATTATGGCAGGTTTTTAAAAAACTTACGATCTGTGACTGTGATGGTATGTTTTCAGGGGTGGGGCTCAATGATTGTGAAGGTCCGAGAACTGCTGTTAAAATGTTTGCTTTGTAACTCTGGCCCCAGTCACCCCTAAATATAAGCAGCACTGATGTGTTCCTTGTGCTATTTCTGGGGTAGGTCTTTCCTCTGATTAGATGACTGCATTCCATACAAATGCACTGAAATAAACGCAGAGCTCTTTAGGGGCTGGGGAGAACCTGTGTGTTATTTTGGCAGCTGTAACACAGGACAATAGACTGGGCAGCTTAAACAACATTTATCTCGAGGCTGGGAGGCCCAGACCTAGGTGCTGACAGTCTGGATCTGGTGGGAGTCTCCTTCCTGGTTTCACTTACACCGGGGAGAAGGAGTTCTTGCGCCTTCATCTCCTTTCAGGGCCACCAGTCCATCGGTGGGGTGCCGCCCTCAGGGCATCATCAAAGCTTGATTACCACCGGGCAATCATTTCTGATCTCCCAGTGCTCTCCGAATGTGCTGAGGGCTTTCAGGGAGAAGCTTTAAGGACTTAGCGGTGCTTGGCTGCACAGGTGGCTGCTGCTAACTGCACCTGAAGCTCTTCTGCCTTGCACCTCCCCAGGGAATACAGATCCCGAAGTCACACTGTGAGCGTACAGCCAGCCACACGTACTACTAAGAGACGTGGAGAGAGTACCTCGGTCCCCACACCTTTAATAACGTCCTGTCAGCCTTTCTGCTCTTGCGGTTTGATGTATGGGAGAAGGTACTCATGTTTTAATTGGTGTGTTCACATGTGGAACTTGTTTTTCCTGATACAAGGTCTTGCTATGTCATCCAGGCTGGTCTTGGACGCCCAGCCTCCTGCCTCAGCCTTCGGAGTGTTGGGGTTACAGGCGCACACCACTGTGTGGAATGTATTTTCATGTACTTCAGGCTGTTTGGATTGCTGCGTATCATTTGCCCATCTCATTTTTTCATGTTTTAAATCTCGGTTTGTTTGAAATTTATTTTTGTGTAGAATGTGCTTTTGCCTTCTATTTCCCCCTGACTGTTGGTGAAGCTAAACATCCTAATGTGTGACAATTTGACTCTTCTCTCTATTTTGCCTTGTAGCCTTTTGACTGTTTAACTTTTTTTTTTTTGCTCTTTATAGTAATTCTGTGGTTGGGGATATCATTCCTTTTTGAAGGTGTGGATTGAGATCTGATGCAGGGCTGCCTGATTTTTAAAGCCCATGTTTTTAATTTGTAACATCACGACGGAGATGAAACAGCTAGCCTGCAGTGTTTGCACAGTGTTTTTCAGAGATGGGATTAAAAATGTATGAGATTTCAAATAAATCTTCTAGCTTCTCTTGAAAAACCAAGAGATATGTTAGCCCTGGGTCTCCATTCCTGTCTGGTGACTCTTGGGGGTTGGAGCCAAACCGCATGCTTCAGATCACAGGATACATGTTGTCCTCTGACCTCCTGTGGGAGTCAGTAGAGACGTCGCCACCCGTGTCACCCTCCTCTGGGTGCAGGTGGGATGATTTCTCACCCTCTTTTCAGGTAGGAGTGGCCATATGTCCTGCGTTGGCTCACAGGGGAAGAGGTCACTTTTAGGCTTTGGACAGTACTTGTTCCTCTCTCCTGCCTTAGGAGGAGAGTGGAGAAGAAGCCTCCTGCGGCCGAGAGACAAGGATGAATAGAGCCCTTGGCTCACCCATTTTAGACTGGTAAGGGGGACAGGTAATAATCTGCAATATTAAGCTCCTGAGATTTCTTTTCTTAAGAACCTAGACCAGTAATGGAGAACCTTTTAGAGCTTTGGTGATGTACACAGCCCGCTCAGGCATGCGTGCCATAGGTTCGTCACCCCTGACTCAGCCCATCTGTTTCCAATGTGGTGTGCAGACCCTGGAGGTTTCTCAGACCTTTTCAGGAGGTCTGGACGATCACAATGATTGTCAGAAATGATTAACATGTTATATGTCCTTGGTTTCTTTTTTCATGTGTTGTCACTTTCACTCATGGCACCAAGGAAATGGTGGGTGAAAGTGGTATCCAGAACTAATGGAGTCAGTGGCCTCTGATATGCTATCAGCCATTGCATTCTTTACTAGCACATTTGAAGTAAAAATGACCAACTTTGCTAACCCTTCATCTCCGGCCCCATCTTCTGTGTACACAGAGGTGGGAAGAGACCCTTCAAGCATTGTGCTGCTAAAATGTGGCGGTGTCTTGGGAGGGTTTGCCAGCTTAGGCGAAAGCTGGACTGGCTGCTCCCTACTGTTTCCATGGAGCATCACTTTTACCTGAAAGAATAAGCCGTAGCTACTCAGATTTGGGTATTTGGGAGATGCTTTCTTGAAAACTAATGAAATCAGCCTGTTCCTTCACAGGAAACATCTGACATTATTTGTTGCCAAAGACAAAATTCAAGCTTTGAGGTGAAAATGAGAATTTTGGAAAACGTGTTATCTGCTACCCTGAGCTTGGTAACTTCCCAACACTTGAAAGACTTCTATTAGATCATTGGTGATATTAACAAATGTGACTTTTTGATATTATGTAATGAAAATGTGTCAACATTTGGAAGATCTGCATAAGGTCTGTTCAAAGAACAAGATAGACTCATGGATTTTGTTGTAACATTGTATGAAAAATTCATTGACATGGTTTTAGAGACAAAATTGTACTGAACTGTTATTTGGCAGCCATCATATTAGGAATAATTTGCATTCATATAATTGTGTAACTCATCCATTTAAAGTGTACAATTCTGGTTTTTAGTAAATTCACCACAATCCTATTTTAGAATATTTCAACATCTTTCTGTCCTTCTATCTCAGCCGTAAATAATCAGTGACCTCCTTTGTGTTTCTATAGATTAACTCATTCTAGATACTTGTATAAATGTAGTCGTATATGTGGTCCTTTGTGACTGGCATGTCTCGTTGGGCATAATGTTTTCAGGATTGATCGGTGTTGCCGTACGTATCAGAACTTTGTGTTTGTGTCTGAATATTCTCCTGTAAGCATCTACCAGTTTCCCATCATTATTGATAGATATTTGGTTTGTTTCCACCTGTATTTTCATTTCTCTTGGGCACATATCTAGGAATGGAAACTGTGTTTAACTTTTTGAAGAATTGTATGACTGTTCTCTCGTAATGCCTGCACCATGTCGAAGACCTTGTAAGAAACTGCACATGTCAGGTTTTGATGTAGTATTTGGTGTGAAGCATGGCATAGTATCATCCATAATTCCTGCAAAAGCTATTGGA